CCCTGATCCAGTTTACGATCGACCAGGAGGACCTCTGTCTTGTCGGGATTGATATTCAGCTTGTTCCTCCTCATCCAGATCGACACAGCGGCCAGGCACTCGTCCAGCAACTGAGGGGCTTCCTTGGAATTGGGTGGAAAAGAGTAGTAGAGTTGAGCGTCATCTGCGTAGAGAAGGCACCCAACTCCAAAGCTCCGGAGGACCTCTCCCAGCGGTTTCATGTAGATGTTAAAAAGCATGGGAGACAGAATGGAGCCTTGCGGGACCCCACAGGTCAAGGGCCAGGGGTCCGAGCAGGCATCTCCCAGCTTCACCATCTGGGTTCGTCCCTCCAGGAAGGACCGAAGCCACGACAGAATCGAGCCCCCGAGACCCATCCCAGAGAGTCAACCCAGAAGGACACCATTATCGATGGTATCGAAAGCCACTGAGATGTCCAAGAGGACCAACAGGGTCAGACTCCCCCTGTCCAGTCCTCTACGGAGGTCATCCACCAGGGCGACCAAAGCCGTCTCGGTGCCGTGGCCAGGCCTGAAGCCAGACTGTGATTGATCCAGGTAACTGATGTCATCCAGAAAGCCCTGGAGCTGGGAGGCAACCACCCGCTCTAGCACCTTGCCCAAGAAAGGGAGGTTGTGTTCAGATCCCAGTAAGGTGGCCTTTTGCAGCTGGAGATGGTAATTTTGTCAGTGCCGATTGCGTTTAAGTGCAGGCCAAGGTCTTGAGGCACTGCACCCAGTGTGCCATCACTACTGAGACCACCTTGACTGGCTTGTTCTAATATTTTCACAAACCCCGATGACATCTAGACATTTGATGATCCAACAAAGTGAGACAAATGCCTTATTATTATTATTATTATTATTATTATTATTTGAAGCACAACAAGATGAGTCCACAGCAAACAAGGTCACTCTGCTGGCTGTTGTATTGGATCACACGTCGGACACTTCCCAAGTGTTTAGGACTGTGTGATGTATTGGTGAATAATGCGTGCAGATCACAGTAAGGTGGCCTTCTGCAGCAGATAGGTGGTAATCTTGTCAGCGTCGATTGTGTTTAAGTGCAGGCCAAGGTCTTGAGGCACTGCACGCAGTGCCTAAATAATAATAATAATAATAATAATAATAATAATTTAATATAACATTATTATATTCATTTATACTCTGCTTCAACATAAAAGCATTTTAATACAATTTCAAACGTACGTCCTGTTGCTGCTTCTCCTCGTCCAAGTTGACCGTGCTCCAGCCAATGTTCTCCTCGCCGTCCGAATCGGAGCCCCCGTTGGCTGACCGCTCGTCATCCCGCTCAAAATCCTGCGAGACACAAAGGAGATCGAGGTGTGTTGCTCTTTCAAACATCAGTGGGATCCCCTGCGGGATGGAAGGCTCCACAGGCATGCGGCAACTCAATATCTCCCAAACTGAGGGTGCCTCCAGGCAACATAGGCTAGGCTACCTCTATGTAAATACCCTCACTGATTTACTTTGCAAACTTCATGGCTACTCAAGCTTGCTCATGGCAACATCCACACTTGCTACAAACAGACAAGGGTTCGTCCTCCCCGCCCCGGACATTATTCCACAGGGATATACCTACACTCCACTTGCTACCACTATGCAGATACCCTCACTGATTGACTTTGCAAACGTCATGGGTATTCAGTGCTATTCAAGCTTGCTAATAGTAACATCCACACTTGCTTCAATAGACAAGGGTTCTTTCCGCCACAGATATATACACCACTTGCCTCACTGCCAACAAAACCTCTTAAGATGCCAGCCACAGATGCAGGCAAAACGTCAGGAGATAATGCTGCTGGAACAGGGCCATACAGCCCAAAAAACTCACAGCACCCAGTGATTCCAGCCTTGAAAGCCTTCGACAACACATTAACATGGAAGCTGTGCTTGATCTTCCTCCTTACCATGAGCTCCTCCTGGTCCTCGCGGTTCCCGGCCAAGCCGTAGGTGGGGATCTCGCCCAGCGTCCGGCAGAACTCGGAGGTGGCGTTGAAGACAATGGCGCCTTTCTTCTCCAGCTCCTCGTCGTCCTCCTGGCTCCGGCCGGTGTCCAGCTTCTTCACTATTTCTATGACCTGAAAAAATGGAGTCCTAGATTGAGAGAAGCCTTCGAATCTACTCACATTTGCATGTTTTCGAACTAGTGGGTTGGCAGGAGCTGGGGCTGACATCGGGAGCTCACCCTGTTCCCTGGATTCGAACCGCCAACCGCCAAAGGGTGTGGGGATGATGGTGTGCTCATTGAATTGCTACCAGAGAATTTCCATGATTTGGAGCTTGAAAACAGCTCGGCACCTGGAAATCATATAGGCACCTTCCACCCCCCCAAAAGGTAACTCCCCGCACCTTTTCCCCGCTGTCCTTCAGCTGCTGGATCTGCCTCAGCTTCCTCCCTTTCTCCAGCTGTTTCTGCAGCTCCTGCTCGGCTTCGTCTTCCTCCAAAACGGTCGGAGAATCGGCGCCCCGGAACGTGTCGTCTGCGGGGAGGAAGCAGAAAAGAGTTGCTCAGGAAAGAGAGTGTGAACAACAACACTCTTCTTCCCTCTGCCTCCTCCGCCTCCTCCTCACCTTCGTCGCTGCTGATCTCCATTCTCTCGACTCGGAGGTCGTCCGACGGGGGCACTTCCTCCGCAGCTCCGTTCCGAGCGTATCCGTACCTCTCTTCCCCGCCTTCGTCTTCCTCCTCCAGAGAAACCTTCCTCCTCCCCCGGCCTCGGATCCTGGGGACATTGGAGAGCAACGCACGCCAAGTTTGAGTCCGAGCAATACAAAGGGATGGAAGTCCATCACGTGTGTTGGAGCTCAGCCTGTGATCGTGTTTCAGGACCAGGGTGCTTAAGATGTGGGGAGTGATGTGTTGTGGCTCAGTTTGATTCCGAGTCTGAAACTGAACCCTGTGGGTCTTGTGAGCCAGACGAGGATGATGGGATTCAGATTTCAGGGCCGCAGGGGAGACAACAAGTCAGTTCTCAAGGGAAAAGAATGCCAGCGAGCTAGATAACGGCCAGGTGGAGTTGTCTTCGATGGTAGAACAGAAGCTCTCCGAAGCTCTAGGTGCTC